CTTGCCTTGCATGCATGAGGCCCTGGGTTCGATTCCTCAGCACCACATAAGCAAAAAGAAAAAAGCCGGAAGTGGCGCTGTGGCTCAAGTAGTAGGGCGCTAGCCTTGAGCTAAAGAGCTGAGGGACAGTGCCTAGGCCCAGAGTTCAGGCCCCACGACCGGACCCAAAAAAAAAAAAGAAAAAGAAATTGGGGTGATGTCTGGAATGGAATGGCAGCTAATGTATTAAAAGCAACAATGTTTTTCATGAAGCAGTAGCTCCATTAAGGGTTAAATCTCACATGAATTGAAGCATCTCACAAAGCATTGTTCTATAAGAGGATTGAATTCCATCTTTGCATACTAGGTAAGAATTATATATTTTATAGTTAATAGGACAGAACCAGAGAAAAGCCTAAGGTTTGTCTCCCTTTTGGGGCATGGTGAATACATTGTCATTTCTGTATTTCAGTACTAGTCACACTAGATATTTAATGCCTGACAAAAATCAGCTTTGTTTTCCATTAAAACATCTATTTGGTTAGTGTATTATCAAATTGGGACAGTTCTGCCATTCCTCTACTTATAAGAATTATAAGATTAGGAATTAAGCATATGAACTGAGTAACATACTAGCTTACACCTTATTCAAGAAACTGTTTCTTAAATAGAGGTCAGCCCATACTTCCACATAGCTAATTTAAAAGATTCTGAGTCATGCTGGCTCTGAGCATAGAGCAAGTCTTCAAGGATTCTGGAATGCTGGGTACTGTGATGTCCAGGCTGTGGATGAAAGTCAAAACTTTCCACAGATCTGTGTGACTCCATAGGAGTTTGCATTCTTTTGTGATGTCAGGAGTTAGGAAAGGCTTATTGAAAGGGAGTATTTCAAGTTGAGTATGAAGAGACAGAACTCTGCAAACAAGAACATTCAAGGATAAAGGTGGTAATGTGCAAATGAATGAGACTGTTTTCTCCTTCACTTTACTCAGTATGTCCCCAAATGAATTAAGCCTTTGCCAGTTCCTGCCTTATCATAGAACTACTTATTTTGGAATAATACATGAACAAACATCCTCGATATCTTTCTGCACAGACAGTGGGGTTGGCTAACAGTCACAATGAAGTGTCTTTGTACATTACTTAGTCACACACATGGGAGTCTGAGGCTTTTAGGCTATGTCAGACTATCTAGTAAAGTAGTACAGAGGTTTGTGTGGTGATTGATCATGGAGCTGATAATCAGGTAGGTTGAGTTTGGGCACTGTCATGTCCAGAATAAGCCTAATGGATGATATTGTACCTCAGGATTTAAATTTTTTTAAAAAAAGAGCTCTTTTGTCATACTGTGCAAGAATGACTAGCGGGAGGAAGCTACCACCAGGCTACGACCTCGGTTTCACAGTGAAGCAAAGGAGAGAACACCGACTGGCAATAATGTGAGGCAAAGGTATAGGGCAGGGCAGTCTTAGGGCAAATGTACAGGGCAGGGCAGTCTTAGGACAGTCTTGTGTCTTCCTAAATTTTTGACAGGTTAAGTTTGAGGGAAATCTAGAAGAAAATATGATAGAGATGTCCAGAAGACAGAGGGAAACAAATCAGGAAGGGAGGTCAGGGATAACTGGGAATACTTGACATGTGAGCATGCAGGTAGCTTGGTGGGGGGCACTGTGTAGAGAGATGGGCAAGTACAACCTGGCCAACAGTAACTATTTTCTGTTTGGGAGAAAAAAAATCCTGTTATAAAATGTCTCAAGATTGAGTGAACTGAGTGCAGGTATTGTCATACATTTTATAGATGTGTTCTAATCTCAAAAACAAGTGAATTTTGAAAAGTGGTTACGACTTGTTAAATTTGTGTACATGACAATGATCTTTTTACCATTCTTTTACCTCCAGTTAACAGTTATGCTTCAGTAATTAGGAAACTTTTTCCATAAAAAGGCCCGACACGTTTTACCAAGGGCAGGGGACATCTGGCCCTAGAAATCATTTGTACTTAATGGGACAAACAAGTGTGCTTCTTGTTGGCTGCTGCAGCCTGTCTGCCTGTTTTGATAATTATGAGCAGCCTGTGAATGACGTTCTAAGTATCCAAATAGTCCTTGGCAGAAAAAAGGTTTTCTACCCATTAGGCATTGCCAAGTTACTGCTTCCACACTTAACTCTGCTATTGTAGGAGAGTGGTCCTAGACAGTAAAAGGAGCAGCACAGGACTGCATTGTGCTTGGAGGCTTTTGCTGAGTCCCTCATCTACTTCATGAGGACACCACACCATACAACCTCTACTAAGTTCAGACTCCAAAAGGTTTTGGTTGTGAGTGGTCCGTGGTCCACAGTCCAAGTATCAGGAGTACCATGTATAACACTACAACTCTATTCTCCAGCATGATTTTCCACGTCACCATCTCCCTTTGTGAACTTCCAATGGGGACACCTGAGTGCTGCTTTTAGAGTACCTTCAGCAGGGAAGTCTGGAACAGGGACAGACAATCAAGAACACACTAAAAACCAGCAAGCCTCTGAGCAGAATGAAAAATGCTTATAGTTTTTTACCATGTTGAACTGAGCATAAGTGAGCATAGTAGTTCCAGAAATGGGCTCATCTCTGAGTTTTTTGTATTGGTATTCCCTCCAAACTGTGTGTGTAATATCTGACATTGTCTTCATTCTGGTTTTCAGGGGAGCCCTGGAAGCTTACGTTCAATCAGTGAGAAGCAGAGAAGGCAAAGAATTTGCACCAGTTTATCCCATAATGATTCAACTGCTTCAGAAAGCGATGTCTACTCTTCAATGACAATATGAAATGTTTGTTAATCTCCACATGGCATTAAACAATTCAAAGTTGGCAGTTACACACTTTTTAAAAAATGATGGTAATTGATTTTTCTCTCTTTAGCACTTCTTCCAAATAGTTTTTTCTACCACATCCTTTAAATTCCATGGTCGTGATTTTTCCAGGAAGGCACTCAACTTTTTGTCTTCCCTAGCATATAGCTGAGTCTCAGTATTGTTACAAAGTCCTCACTGCTTTTAAAGGGACATGATCAAGGCACTCAGCTTCCTGCAGCCTGCCTGCCTGCCTTTTAAGTATATATAGCCCACCCACTGGTTCCCAAATTTGGTTCCATGTTCATAACACCAGTACAACTTGTAAGAATCTAATGTTCAAGTTGCACCTCGAGTAGTTACAGGGAATAGGGGAGCCAGGTATCACTGTTTTAAATTAAATATCCCTAAAAGGATTCTACATCTGCAACATACCCCAAGGCCAAGTTTAGGGCTGTTCTTTAAATGTGTTATGCTGTATCTTTAATGAAGCTTGGTTTTCTTTGTACTTGGTCAATTTATTAAAAGCAAGAGACTGGTGGCTATGGAAAAGACCAAGTATTTTTTCTTCTTCTATGAAATGTCTATAATCTTAAATTCTATCTTTTCTATAGCCCTTTTCTGAATTTCATTTCTTTGTTTTTTTTTCAAGCTCTCATTAGAAACTTAAAATCAAAAACGAGTCTTCTGGCAAACTTTGTTGTTGTCCTCCTTCAGATTCTAGTCTAACAATTTATACATAAAATTCAGTCAAGGTCAATCAGAAGTCAGAGATAACCTTTTTTTTTTCATTTTATTTGAAATAATATACAAGAATATAATGTGCAAAATTGAGGGGCAACATCATGAAGAAGTGTAATGAACTGAAATCAGTTTTACAGCTGTGATTCCTAACCAGAAACACCACTTGGTAAATTACATGAAAAGCCATGATTGTAGCTCAGAGCAAAAGCAGCTGTATTGCCAATGTATTTGCTCCAATTTTAGACAGTTGGAGGAAAAGTAAAGTGCAAGTGTTGCACTGCAATAAGTGCAAAGTCTGCCCCCACCATAAAGATATGATGATGAAATATACTTAAGATATGTGGCTGAGAAGATACAGAACACAAAGTTTAAAAATACAATGGTGTTGACTGTTAATAGCACCATTACAGTGACTATCCCAATGCTATTAACTAACTCTGCCTTGGCCTGACTCACTGTCCACTGGAAATTGTGGTAAAGTGCTGCCACCTGGTGCACATATACACTCAAGTGTGCCTGTGCTCACTGCAGCACCATCTACCTGCCACACGTTTGCTCTTGGCACTGGCCAGACTAGGCGCGCCTGTGTTTGGCACAGATGCTGGGCCATGTGGTGGATGCTCATGGAAAGGCCAAGTCCCAGCTTCTGCTTCATTCCATCATGTGTACAATACAGATTAATAAGCAGTAAGGAGCCAATGTATAAACAGCAGTTACATACTTTTAAATTCCCCTTTTACAACTTAAAATAAAACATGTATACACTTCTCCTCTCTTTCTACTGTACTTTAGCACCACAGGATATCAATTTTCAAGCCTATATTACCTGATAGACATATATGAAGTTCGGAAGGAAAATAAGGCAATTTGGTTTACAATGTTGATAGTTTTAGCTTACTTAATGCTCTAATGGAGAAAGCAAATCCTCACTCATATTATTAAATCATTTGAAGACTCAAATGCTATCAGTATCTTACGATCACTTGAACTCAGGACAAATGGTGAGACTGATCTTATTAAGTCTTTCCATCAAGAGTCAATTGTTTCTGCATTCAGACTTAAGAACATAAGCATCCTGGTTTAATGTTGTTGTGAGCCCTGTGGAAATAAAATTAAACTCAGTGAATCTTTACATATCTATGTATTTGTCTAATGTAAATTATATAAATTTACTATTTAAAAAAATAGCTTTCTCAAAGACAATTTTGAAGTTTGCTAGGATCTGATGGCTCAAGCATCCACAATTTATGAACATGATGAGAGACAGACTAGGAGAAGAGAGATACAAATAAAGTCCCATGAAATTCTGAAGTGAAAAGAAGTTCCCAAATCCAGCTCAACTACCTTGTCATCTGACAACTACTACTTCAAAAGAAATTATCTTTTTTAAGCCACTTTGTCTTTTCTTTTTTGATACTTGGAAACCCAGAATGTTGCACTTGCTAGGCAAGTGCTTTGCCACTTAGCTACATCCCAACCGATAGGATCAACTGTATGTCATTAAAAAAAAAATGGATGAATTTAAAACATCCTTAACTAGAACCTCCCAATTCTTACTCAGTTTTTATTATTTCAAATGGAACCAACTGTGTTCTATATGTGTAGTATAATGTAAAATGATGAACATAAAAGATGCTAGTCTAGTAATGAAACGTGTTAGTAACAGAGTCTGTCAAAGATGGCACTATTGTACAAACCAACTTACCACCCTTCCTAGGCCTATTTTGTCTTCTTGCGGCTTTTAGTCTAGGAATTTTATACATATAGTAGAGGTCCTCATAAATGTTAATGTACCCTCCTTATGCTGCCATCCTTGTTAGCCCCTTACTAGTTAAGGAAAGAAAGGCAGTTCAATCATGCTACCAAAAGTTAAAGGATTTTTTTCCCTACACTATCAACAAGTCAATAACACCTATCTTTCAACACAACTATCTACAAGTATTCCAAGTTTTTCTACTTCAGCACTTAGTGCACGTATTCTTTTTAAACTGGCTTGGAATTTCTCCTTTTCAAATAAGTAAATGAGGCTGTGATGAAAAGGCGGATTTTCTCACATGGACACGCTCACTGGAGTAATGTTAAGAAATAGTGCCAACACAACATTTTAAAGGGGCTAACAACTGCACTAACATCCCAGTCCATCTCTATAAGCCAAGACCATTTTAAACAATTACTGATTGAAACATACTGAATTAGTTCTTTTCCTTTTCCAACAGTCAGGATTTAAACGTTTTTGTTCTTCAGCCAAAGCTTTTGCTTCTAACGTATACATCCTTCTCTCTTCATTCTTCATTTTCTTCCACCTGTCACCAAGGATCACACTTATGGCTCTATAAAACAAATATTTATGAATGTTGAAGGCAAAGGTTTTTCAGGAAATTCATATCAAGTGCTGCTACTTTAGACAGAAATGTGAGATTAGAAGGACAACAAAAATCTTGATCAACAAAGAAAAGGTGCAAGCTGTCACAGTCATTTCCAGCAAAACCCCATGTGTCGTATGGTCCATTTAACGTAATCTTTTACACTTACAACCTGGAATACTGTCAGTGTTTCCAATTATTGAAAGATATCTAAAGTAACTAGAAATCAGGTATTTTCTAAGCTTAAATTAAAAAGAAAAAATTCAAACCATTCAAACTAAGATACCAAAAAAGCTGATGATGTGTTAAACTTGTATTAAGAACTTACAGCCTGTCAAACAACCATAATAAAATGTCTTTTCTTCATTCATCAACCATAGTGAAAATGTGTTACTAACTATGCTTGCCTATTGTTTTTCTTTTATGAGGAAACTCAGTTCAAGTTTACTCGCATTTGTATTTCTCCTTGAGAAACTAGATTCAACTCAAAAGCTGTGGTTAGTCAAATTGGAGATACAAT